AGCAACCTGAACTGTCTCGAAGACGCAGGTGTTTCAGGTCTTTCTGTCTGCCAAGGCCGATGTCGATGCTCACAGCACGCTTCTTTTTCGGGCTGGCAGCTGAGTCGAACGACGAAGGAAGCTGAACGGGAACCCAACTTCCGTAACTCGGACATGCCTTTGTCTAGCATTTGGGCCTTCAAAGCCTTCGGAAGTAAGCTGTATGACAGACCTGATTCCAGGGACTGCGCGTGCAACTGCAGAAGCTGCGGTTCCACTTAAGACTGAAGAGATGGATGAACATGCGCGCGTGTGTGTGTGTGTGGCGTACGAATGTACTTATGGTAGAGTTGGAAGTTGGAAATGTAGTTGATGATTACACTGATAATAAAGAATGCCAATCATTGCATATGACACATGTCAGAGGCAAGTAGCCGTGCTTCTTGCAGGCAAACTTCTCATCCCCCACGTATTCCAACGCTCATCCTTACTGCGCATATGGTATCAATATCACCTTCATATTGGCACGATCCCAGACTGCACTGCTAGCAGCTTCATATTGCAGCATTCTTGGTGCGAAGACTGGTCGTGCCACTAAGTTAGTTCCAGTGATATCATGATCAGTACGAAAGCGGTCGCCAAGGTAATGCTGACAGCTGTATGAATATCAGGGTTGCAGATTGCCCTTGAACACTTTACTGATGCTTGCTGGTATTGGCCTTACAGTTACTCTGAGTGCTGCACCCTTGGTGTCCATTTGTCCTGGTTTTTGCAATGCGTAGTACATACTTGCATTGCATGTATGACATGAAACCGAGGCTTTTCTACGGCTTTGGGATGGGGCCCGCGTTGACGCTGCAGGCCACGGCGGACCTAGTGTACATCTGGACACCTGGGGACTTGGGGTTTTGCTGTGCCTCCAATGTAGGCCATGTCGCAAGGGATGTTTGGGCGCTTCTTCCCTTCAGTTGCAAGGAGACCCCAAACCTCACGGTATGACGTCGCAACATAGCGATGTCCCGTCGAATCGCAAACATGTCCGACTGGAAACGCCCGCCTGTCCTGAACCAAGTTGCTTCTTCTGGATGTGACCGTGCATTATGCTGTGTAGTGACGAGTATGCGATGCCTCACAGTCAGTTCGGCTGCCCGCTGATTTCTTGGTCGTCAAGGGTGGAGTAGACGTTTCGGCCACCAAGGCCATTCTTGGGTGTTTATGCTTCCAGAGCCGGTTGCAAAAACTTGAGCATAGTGGAGCCGTTTCTGATACCTTGCTGGGCGGGGTGGTGGGTAAGCTGAATGCTTGAGGCTTAGGCCGGGACTTACTCCACACTACTCCACCCATCACTCTTCCGCAGGATGGTCTTTTGCATAGAGCGAGTCATGGACATGAGATTTAGGGTCTCTGGCAAGGTGGAGATCTGTCCGAAGGCCTGGCGCGGGCACATGGTCAACGCCTTCTTCTTAGCTTCGGTTTGCGAGTCACTGGTGGATCCTGGTGGATTTCGTGGTGAACGCGATGCGGGTGGGGGCTTGTGCCTTGCAATTGGACCTGCTGAGGCTCTGGAGTGCAGGGCATGTGTTGCTTGCCTTTTGTTTGGCACGCCGAGGTGAACAACTTCTTCTTCACACTAGGTGAAGTCTATGCAGCCGTCGACTTACTCTTCGCCTCTTCGGTACCCAAGTGAGCAGCTTTGACTCGAGAAGTCAGAGGCCTGGTTGCTTTGGGCCTTCTTGAAAGACTTGAAGCAAACCAGTGACGAGGAGCTACTGGTGGTGCCCGAGTTGTACCACGTTTTTTTCTGCCTGTCCTGCGCTGCATGGTTATATTTGTGTTTCGCCCTGGAGCGTGTGTTCACCTATCAAGAGCCAAATTTGTTCTGCTACTGTCCAGGCCGTGGCGGTACTGTGGAATTGATTGCTTTCGGTGAGTCATACCTTTCATGACCCATGAGGTGAGCCATCCACGCTTTTCATCTGGGCGTGCGACGCAAGCAGAGCGGTCACAATAGTAGCGAGAGCAGTGACGATGACAAAAACAAAGACCGAATCATTGGCCATGAACTGAACTTACAAGCCTGCAGGAGAGTTGGCGCTACGTCACAGCACTGGCCGTCAGCCTGGACCTTTGCATTTTCACGAACCTAGCAACAGAAAAGGAGTTGGGGACAGGTGGCAGGGTAAGATTGGTTATGCTAAAAGCGCTTGAATTCGAGTTGTTTTTTCCGACGAGGGCGCTGATGTTGATGATGACGCCGATGATGCTGCCGCTGATGACACGACAGCGGTTGTCGGAGCGGTGAGGGTAGGGGTGGATGTGGTCGGTGTTGCTGCTTCTGCTCCCGCTGGTGGCGGTGGTGGTGGTCGTGGTGGCGATGTTGCTGCTGTTTAGACGGTTGCTGTCATGCCGTCCACTTCCACCTCTACCCCAGGACTTCTGGCGCAAGGTCATCGAAGCGAATTTTCTGCAATCATCCGGCGCCATACCCCCCTGGTCTCTGAATGGAAAGTTTTGCACGAGTTCCTCCCTCTGTTTCCTGGCCCGGGTATCTGTAGTCGGCCTCGGCTCATTGCAGTGCAGACAGGCACGGCTGCGTGGAGAACCCCCAGCAATGTGCCAGGTGCCAAAAACCGCGGCTACATCTCATTTCCCAAAATTTCTCTCGTGAACGGCACTCCTGTTTTCCAACTTGTTTTCCAGCTATCTATGCTGTGTTCATCCATTTGCGAAACTCAGTCACTGCAAACCGTAAGACACCAAGCGGAAGTCCTGAAATCCGAAACCTTCAACAGCTCAACTTCGAACCCTATCGAATGCGAGCTCTGAACCCTCAAGTAAGCCCTTCTGGGCAAAGACACCTAAACGCGAGCCCCAATCCCCAAATTCAATCCCAATGTACCCCCTAGCGGGGCCCTAGCATGCGACAGAAGCGCTCGCACCGGAATTGTAAACCCCACAAAGCCCCAAACTCTAGACTCTAAACCGAAACCCAAACCCAAAAAAATCCTAAACCCTAAGCTCGATAAACCCAAGTGGCTTGTCGTAAGGTCCGGCCCTGCTAATCCTGCCCTTCGCCGTGCCCGGGTCCTCAATGCCTGAGACATCCGACCACAGGGGCTTAGGGTTTCTGAAGCAGTCCAGTTTTTCGGTTTAGGTCCTTGTCTGCAAGGTTCTGGGATTCTCAGGCTTCGGATTGAAAAGCCTTTAAAGCTTCAGTCGAGTGCCTAAAGGAGAGACCCGTAAAGGGACTCTTGGGGTTATATAGGGGCTTTCAAGAGACTATACAAGGGGTATATATTGGTTATATAGGGTATTAGGTTAGGGGTCCCTTCTAGGGGTCCCTCCTATTGCCCCTTACTTCAGCTTCTTGCGGGCATTTCGGATGCGGTTCTTTTTTTAGTCGCCTATTGCGTGTTTGCACCAGGCTGCTCTTATACGAGTCGCCGCACTACCTAGCCAGCGGCCAAGAGGGCAGGCTCTCCTTCCTAGCGAAGTCGGAGGTGAAGCTTGGAAGCACGCTGAGCTCGTAATCTCAAGAACATATCATAGGGGTCTGTGGGCACGGTTTCGTCGGGGATTGTTTTAGAGAAAGTTTCACAAGCGTAGCCAGATCGCCATTGAATGTCAGGTTGTTTGTGGGAAGCACGACCAGGCGGGTTGTAGCAGTACCCGCTCACGCTACTTGTCGACTCTGTCGTGGCTTTTCTGTCCAGCAGAGCCCAAGGAATCCACAGGATATCGATTCGAAGACAGGGGCCATGGGGCTGTGCGACTTGTGTAAGTGTACCTGTGGCCCTTCTGTTGCCAGCATTTGGTGTCTTGTGGCTCGTGCTGTACTTGAGTAACGTCTGTGTTGCTCTTGTTCTGTATTTCATTGCTTAAACTACTGTATTTGGGGCAAGTATGATCATCGCGATGTGACGCTGTTTATTGCTGCCTGCAGTCCGAGCAGTTACGCTCCATCTGATCCGAAGCCTACTCCGCAGCACCTTTGGCTGAAAACCGAGTGCTCCTTTGAGAGTTCAAGGCAGGGAGCGGTTGGGAGATTGGAGTTCATGGAGTTGGGCGGAGCTGCTAGCGGCTTGAAAGATGACGTTATGCTGAGCATGCTGTTTTCTGCAAGGGCAGAAGGCATGGCTGCATGGCACAGGGCTCATGTCAACGCGTGTGAGTCACGAGTAGCAACTGCCCCTACCTCCTTATGATTGCAATGTTGTGGCAGGCCGCCTGTGTCATTCTTTGCACCCCGAAAGCAAGAAGATGGAGCGCAAAGCCTTCTCCAGGCAAGCAGCGACGTTGATGTAGCCTGTGCTTCCATGATCTGTGCGGCTGCGTGCCATTCCTGTAGCACCCAAAGCCTACCCAAACAACTAGAAAGGGCACTCTTGGACCAAAAACTCTAAACTCCTCAACCCTGAACCCTACCCAAGAATCCAAAAGCCTCAACCCATCTAGACCCTGCCTCTGCAGTGGGGTAAAAGAGCTGCCAGCAGCCCTGCCTCTTTGGTGCTTAGGGTTTTGCTTTTGGATTGTGGGTTAAGGGTTTACTTCAGGGGTTTTGGGATTTAGAGTTTGCTTTAGGAGTGCTTGCGGTCAGGGTTACTGGAGGTCATCGCTGTAACGGCGAGAAAAATCTCAGTTACTTGGTAAGTCCTCCAATTTTCTTAATGATGAAGGCTTTTTTTCATCCGCCTCTGCCTCTTGCTATCATCACTGAGATCATGCCCAACGAAGGTGGTTAGGGCAAGGGGGAAGCGGTGTCTGCTCCTGGCGTCCTCGGATGAATCTGTTCCTTGCTGTTGTACTGGTCGCTCTCAGTACCCTGTCCATGATTGCCAGGGCGACCGGTGTTGTTCTGTTCTCCTGGTCATAGCCACTTGTAGCTTTGCTGCCATTCTCATGACTGCCATTGTTGCTGTGATGTTGTGTGTGTTTTTGTTACTCTCAGTAGTGTTGTCGATCCTTTTTGTCGCACGTTGACTGTTGCTGTCATTCCTACTGCAGGACCAATGACATCGAGATTGATGACATGGGCCCACTTTCGGACTCCGACTGTGGTGTTCAGGTCCGCAGGCTTGTTCATCTTTAGCATGATCACGTTCTTTGGAATTGGGGGTCTGGGTTTGGATGGTGGGGAGTTGAAAGAGTTTAGCCCCAAGCTTCCTGGCTGCTGCAGCAGCTGCTGCTGCCACACTACCACTACTGCTGCTGCTTCTGCTGCCGCTGCTGCTACTACTGCTACTACTGCTACTACTGCTACTACTGCTACTGCTGCTGCTACCACAGTGCCAGCGAAGCTACCAGAGCTTCCCTTCCCTGAACGGTGCAAATCCCAAAGACCCAGAGCCCTGCACTCGAAACCCCACAACCTTCGACCCAAACCCGAAACCCCAAACCCCAAACCCGAAACCCCAAACCCCCAACCCCAAGCCCCAAACCCTAAACCCCAAACCCGAAACCCCAAACCCCAAACCCGAAACCCCAAACCCCAAGCCCTAA